CAAGACGCGTGTCCAGACGGTGAACGTGGAATTTCCTTAATGACAACTGCTCTGCGAAGATCAAAGAAATGCTAATTCGCTGGTATAATAGGAAGAGAAAGTAGAGATATGTTTGGCTATAACTTCGACCACAGAAAATGAAGTGCAATCCTGTGGTTAATTATTTCACCTGTTTTTTACCTTTTGTTCTTTTTTACGATAATTATACAAACAGATGCGTAGGAAACTAATTTATGCGGTGCAAGTCCGTTGGACGAATCGGTGCTTTCCACTTGCTTCAAATAACTCAAACGCTAAATGTAAATTTAAGCCGAGTCAGATAGGTAGCGACTAGTAGATTAAGCACGTAACTGGTAATTGCAAATTGGGAATTAGAAATTATTTATTTTTCCGCGAATCTTGTGCGTTGTTGGTAAAATGAAAAATATGAAAATACGATAAGCAAGAGTTCGTTGATACATTTGTATAATTGCAATCGTGATGGACGTTATAATGAATAATAGACCAATGAAACGGAGTGGATACATATCAAAAGAGGGAAGCGATGAAAAGTAATTAATGTTCCAAGTACGTACGGTATGACAGTTTGAAATATCATTCTTCAAGTAGTATTTTACGGACATTACATTTTCACGGGTATTCGTATTTCGGCGTAAACTTTTGTTCCTACTTAACGACAAATTTATTACGCAATTTTGGATGCCCATTTGAAATAATATATATTCTCAGAAGAGTACAAATCCTTTGCTTGACTAATTAATTAATTCACGATAACAGTAATCTTCTTTATTCATCTGATATTGTTAGATTATATCCCCTCAATTGAAATATTGATCTTGCAATTTTATGTAAATCAAATATATATATATATACGCAGAAACTAGATGTTTAATTAAATCAGCCAACCCTAATGTTTTGATGGAAATTTGAAATTTTGATAGAAACATTTAATTACCATATAAGAAATACGTTTGTAGTTGAGCGCGTTTCCTCTACGATTGCGATCATGAAACCGAACGATGCATTAAAAGTAGACATGCAACGAATCGACGCGACGCTAATTACAAGTGTAGGAAACGAATTACGAATGTTACACGAGTCATACAAATTTCCTATTATATGGTAACAAAAATTGGGCGGGACGTAGAATTATTGCGTACGCACAATCGCGTTTATTGTATTATAAATTGCTCTACACTCGTTTCTCATTATGTTATACCTTATGAGCAGTAACACACGCTTAGGATTCAAGAAGCTTGAAACTTTCCGAGACCTTATTACAATGTTACGAGTTATACGAATCACAATTGACTCTTACAGTGTCATTTTCTAGAGTCGTCTTGTAAATTGATCGTTACACGAATATAAATAAATTGCGGAAGAAATTCGAATAGCTAGGAAAGAAATTACAACTCGGTATAACACGAGACTTGCTTTTACAATTTTTCTAATATCCAATTCTCTTGGGGATATCGTTATTCTTGTATTTCACTTTTAAGAGAGAAGATAGGAAATAACCTGGTCAAAGAATAATTTGAGCAAATACGACTAAGGCGTCGAGTGGAATGCACTCATAGTTCAGCTTCGGCATTGTTTAACCTTTAATTGCTAGAATCTTGGCACGGTAGCTGCCGAAATGGCAAGTCCAAGGCGTTTTCTCTAGTATCAAGTATACACTCGGAACGAGAAGGTTCTTTTGCGCCGTTTCATCGGTCTTGCTTAACAAACGCGCTTACTAAACTCTGATAAAAATAAAGGCGAATGTCTGGAACGTTTTTCAAGTACGCGAAATGCTGGAAGTAAAGAAAGAGTTTGTAACGTTTCATTGAACAGACGTATTACTTACACGAGATCGAAGTTTCCAAGCTAAACAAATATTTCATTTGTGAAGTGCTTTCATTTATCTAGTGGTTGTTTACTTGAAATAAATAGGTCTTTGATTCAACACGTCTGATTTCACATTAGAAAGTAAATGACTGTAAATTTACCAGTCGTTCTGTGTTCCTTTCAATAGGTTGTCAGCTTCTTGTAATTATACGAGGTCGTGTGATGCAATAACACGACAAGGATGAGGGAATCATTTACTAGGAAAAAAAAAAGTAAATGTAAAATAAACCTGTCGCTTGACATCGTTGGGACGTTCTTAGGTTTTCCCTATTCACTCGGAGCAACTCTTTCCAACGCCAATTTAATTATTCTGCTCAAACGTAAAAACACTTATACGACGAATCTTTGATACAAGATCAAGCAAAATTACTAAAAGTATAATAAATTAGAAAATAAGAGAGAAATCTGAATGAAAAGACGCGTACTACGTTCGAACGCCAGAAGGAAAGCTCTACCCTCTATTTCGAAAACAAGTAAATTCCACCTGATCGAAGCTTCCACTAAAAGATACGCAGACGAGAGATCGATCTTGAAAAGCAGTAGCGTAAAATCCACCGAAACGATCGATTTTATCCATCGTATTAGCAACTTTAATACTCGAGAAAGACAATTTGCAAAGGAAAAGTGGTCGCATCGGTATCGAAAGTCGAAATACTATTGATTCACACAGGTACAATGAATAATCGGTCGATCCGTACGGATCTGCGGTCGCGTAATTGACAGAAAATGAAACTTGAGACCCACCAGAAGATTTTTGGCTGCTCGAAAACACCGAACTTTCCAGGCCAGCTGGAACCTCATTCGAGACGCACAAAATCGGTAATATTGGAGCGGAACTTCACTTCATACGCGGTTTCTGCCAATTCTCGGCCAATATTCCAAACACGTGTTGGCAGGACGACTGAACGAGTGCGAGATATGAGCCGAACTTTATAAATGGTGGGAGAAAGTGCAGGAGTTACGATCGTAGATCGGTAGGTACCCCACGCTGTCAAAAGCTCTCGGTCTACAAAGATTTTTAGCACCGCTCGAACCGTATACCAGTCCAATGATTAATACTCGTGTTTAGAAAGGATCACAGTTTCTTGTGATATTATTTCTTAAACAGATCGCATTGTAAAAACGCTGAATAATGTAACGATTGACTTTTCGACTGCGCGCTATCGCTCGATTTTTGCCAGGATAAAGGCGCGGACCAAAGAATTCCTTCGTACCGCTTGTTCTTTGAACGTTCTTTTGTTCGTTACTTTTTTAGGCAAAAAAAAGGTTCTACCAAGGCTGCTGAAAAATTGCCGACGTTAATTCAAGCAATGATATTTAAAACCGGTAGGTACTTGGAGAGGCGATTGTACGCTGTACGATCGTAATATGTTCCCGCCAATTTCAGTCATCGTTTGCAACAAATGTTTTACAATTACAATGCGAATGCTGTAAGAACTTACAAGCTTCGCGTTTTCAAAGGGTCAATCGATTAACTGCGGCGTAAGGGTTCGCTCGATCGATGATCATATTTGGAGAAAAATCTTATCTAACTATCGTTGGAAAGATTACAATTTTGAAAATATGATTATTCATATTTAACAGCGGAAATAGTAACTAAAATGTAAAACGAAAACTGATATAAATGTTACAGGTTTCGTACGCCCTCGACTCGCTGGCAGTGCATGGAAGGATATACGAGACACCTTAGAAGCATGTTAATTGGCAATTTCAGCCGGATATAAATTAATCAAAAGGTAGATTTTAAGGTGGATAAAAAAATGACGCTTTTGTTGACAAATATGCTCTACGACGATAATCGAAGCGAAGATTGCAACGATAACAGAGAAAACGTCGGGGTTACTGTGCGAAGGAGAAGTCGTATAATAACATTCCGTTTTAACAAGACGATAAACATATTTATCCGCGGAGAATCGTATAAAATTTTCTGTTATTGCGAAACGTGGAAATCCAGTCGACTGTATTGGAAATCTCTATTAAAGTATAATGGGGTTGTTTGTTACGCGGTTAGATCGGCACGATATATCAGAGAGAATCGTAAATTTAAAAAATGTCCAATGTATATGTATGCTCGATGTAAAATTCATACGTTCGTTATTTAATATGTGGTAAAGATGAACTCACCTTATTGTTCCCCTGTCGACTATGCTGAGAAAAAAAGACGCGATCGCTCGAGCAATTCCCTTTCGTCTTAGGATTTACTTCTTCTCGTATAAGAGCCGATATCCTCGCTTTAACAATTGAACGTAATAATAATCGATCTAAAGAGAAATTGAGGGAATAGAAACGAGCCGGTTGTAGAAACGACGTTCCTTCCGCGCTTCTCATCTCCCGCGATTTCCACTTTTGTGAAAATCGTTTTCGCTTTGAATCAATTTATAGTCCCTATACCAGTCGTAAACATATGCACGTGGTGGTGGTATTTTAGCGAGACAGAGATGCGATCGTAGTTCTCAGATATCCATACTTACCACTTCTCGTACGAACTGGCTACGGATTTTGGGAATTGACAGATCGTCCTTGATACGAACAAGCTCTCATGCGATAAACGATGGTTAGTATTGTGGCGTGTCTTGTGTGTCCGAGCACGTGAATATTTCGTTTGTAACTGATATCTCGATTCGTTGCACGAATCTTAGTTTCACGTTGTATTAACACTCTGAATGAGTAAACTGACCTGGAACGTGTAGCGCAACTGTAAAATGAACCAAACCGAGGAAGCTTATCTAGCATGTAACGAATAATAAGCAATGCAAAATAATGTAGAAGATAAAAAAGTATTAGATAAATTTGTACATTTTTTATTCGAACTATCGTTACTCTATTATCTAAATTACGGTAACAATGGCATTAACGTGGATGATTGTCTAAGTTGCGATACAGAATGTCTATTACTATCTTCGAAGTATGCTTCCATTATTAAATTAAAACATACGCGATCGATAATATTTTGCGCGACGGCGATTTCTTTCCGACTTCTGCCACTGTTTCGTAATTTATTCGCTATGTGTTCCCCGTAAACTAAAAATTCATCTCGTTCTGTACTAGTTTCTGTCTTTATACATTTTATAGTTTCCCTCTCATTGCCGATGTTTTTAACGCAATTTATTTTCGGTTTTGGAAATAGGAACTTGGATTTCTGAAGTGCCGTGAACATACCTGGATTTTCTCTGTAAATCGTTTTTACGGAGACAGAGTCGACGTTACTCGATAGTTCATCCTCTTGAACCTTGTCCTTCTATAAACAGCAATAATGGTATTCTAACTATTCTAGGAAGAAGAGGCTTGTGACGGAAGAGGAGTAGGAGGAGATAACGCATATTTTATTCTTGAAAAATTAAGCGAATTCCTTTATCTTTCTAGATACACACAAAAAGTAATTAATCGCATTAAAAATCCTTCGGAAAAATAAATATCCCCAAACGTTAAATTCTATTTATTCCTTCCTTACCTTTGTTTCGCAAAAATCAAACTAAGTAATTCTTAAATACACATACTTCAACATGTTGCAGTAGAAACAACAATGGTTTGTATCCGAACCATGTTGCTCTCCGATAGAATCCATTTTTGTTCAAATTCGATGATCTTTTGCGTTCTCTTCGGAACTGACACCTTAGATTGGCAATTTTTTTTCCACTTCGCTGACGTTAATTTCGTGTTTACTTGATAAATGCTCTATCGCGTCACTGTTTGCCTTTCGATCTCTATACTGTTCACTCTTTATATTACATAAACACCCTTTTAACTGCAGATCCTTGATAAACGATAGAACCTTTTTATTCGTCCACATGGTAAACTGTCTCCACAGATATTTCGTAAAATGGTGGACTGTTTGCCTAGATACTACGTGAAATTAGTGGACTGTTTGCCTAGATATTACGTGAAATTAGTGGACTGTTTCCGTACATACTGAGTGCAAATAGTAGACTCTTTTCGCATGTAGCCGGTCGCTATTCCCTTGCCCTGTACTTCCATCATAAACAAACCATTGTTTCAGTGACTGTGTACGGTTTACGAATTATACCGCTCCTGTATCTTATTCGTGCACGCATGTTCGCAAAAACTTTACAGCTAAGTCTGCCACACTGATGGGCGATGATTGTCCGCAGACGCGTATCGCAGCCAATCAGCGTCTGTCTATCAATGGATTTTCTACGAACAATAGATGCCGATTGGCTGAGACACGTAATCTGCAGTTAGTTTTTCGTCGAGGTAGACTTAGGTTAAGGTTAAGCGACGAATCTCGTCTAGGCTTAAGCCTAGTCCTGATGTACAAACAATATTTTATCCCTAACCCGCATACATAGTTCGTGGACAAAAGTATGTGTACGCGTGTATGTACATCGTCCTGGCTGTCAACCTGCAATGTACGTAGACCGTCTACGGACAATGTGTGTTAGCCTAAACTGGATTTTATGAATAATTGTTTGCAGAATCCTTACAAACTGTTTACAGACTGTATCGATTTGTGGCGTCTAGGCTTGCGATAAAGTACCGTTGCTACTTTTAACGTCGAATTGCCAACGTAATATATATTCCGTTGTTTTAACAAAATAGTGGTATCCTTTGTTCAAAAGTAATGGTTTTCCGCGACTCGTATCTCGATATATTCCAATCTATGTATATTACAACATGTATATTCAGTCGCAATATATATTTTGTTGCTTTGAAAGATAGTGGTATCGTTTGTACGAGAGTAATGATTATTCCATGAGTCATATTTCTCAATGGGTACATACCTATATGTGTATTACTAAATGTATATATTGTACGCATATGTAAGTATACGTCCGTGGAAAAATATCCATTCTGCTGATGCATGCAACACACGAATATGAGAATTATATAAAAAAGGAAGAATGCAAGTAATAACAAAATATAAAAATACCGACACATTAGGATAAGATCTTTTATTTTCGAAATTTGCAATACGATTAATCCCGTTCTTAATCAATTCAAACTTTGAATCGTATTGAATTCCGTAAGTACAATTAATTCTAATTACGTACGAAACGTTCAACAATATTATTCTCTTCTTAATAACTAATCAGTCATACTCCGTATACTCCTAAAAGTACTTCAGTCGTTACAGTCATGCAAATCAACGTGAACGCTGAGCAGAGTTTCATTAAAATTCATTTTCGGTAACAATAAGCATGATTAGGAGAAAAAAAGTTGCGAGCAAATTCGAAGAACGCGAGAGATTTGAAATGGCAGGCAATCGTTGTAAATATCAAGAACTATGCGTATAATCTTCTCGTATAACATAATCGATATTCGACAGTACCGGTGTTATCGGCTTGAGCGAAAGACTCTAGAGTAATTCAAACTCATCGACGAATGCTTTAAACCAAGATTTGTAAACAATGAATCTATCGATCTAAAAACGATGCAGCCGTAAGAATTATCATGCGAAATAAAAAAGGATGTAATTAAACTTTAGCTAATATATTATAGTAATATATTACTTAAAAAGTTTGATTACACGATATATTTCCTTAAAAGTATTATACAATATCCTAAATCTTATTTCACGATATGAGTAAAAATCTCGCACTACATAGTTAGAAAGACATTGTGCACCAAGTGTATTGCTATTCTTTTGTAATTACAAAACGGTCTCGCATTTTCTGTACTTTCGTTCCGCAACGCTTCGATCCTATCATAAACACGTTAAAACCCCTGAAACACTACTTCATCCAATACATCTAGTAGAAGAGTACTAGGTTATAATATCGATTATTCTCCCAGGACTTATTGCTCGTTCTGATTCTCACCTTTCCGTATTTTAATCAATCCAATTAAACTTACACCTATCGTGTTACGATATCGCTCGTCGTCTTTTCCTTTCTTCCTATGTAAATGAGTGCGATGATTCGATTAATTTGAAATTATTGGAGTGTTTTACTTGATATATTCGATCTGCTCTACGTCATTCCCTTAATATTCTATCGTGTTACTCCATCGTGGTATCACGTTATACTTCTATTTTTAGAGAGTTTGTTCGTTAAAAGTTTGAAGCGTATGTAGAGGCAAATTAACCTTGACGCTGATAACACTATAAACGTCGGTCCTCGGAACGCTATAGGGGCACCAAGAGTCCTTGTCAAGAAGAGTAGTAAACGAATAGAATTACATGAAGTACATTTGTTGCTATGCAAATAAACTGCGATAAAAATTTTAACTTGGCTAAAACGATATTTGTCGAATATTCTTTTCACTCGAGTTTTCGAATATTCCTACGTTTTCTAGAAACAACTAAATCCAACGAGGCTCTCTTACCACATGATACAATTCGCATCACACGATAGATTAGCCAAAGCGTGTCTAATAATCTGAATATTAATTTCCTATTGGTTTAACAAACATCACTTTAGCCAGGCAACACCTTTAAAAATTTGTATTTAGCTCAAGGGCTCCTAAACGATTGTTAGCTTCAGGCCCCCAAAGACTAAAATCCGCCACTGCATGCATGAATAGCTAGATATCGTACAATGTTTAGAAATGGAATAATGCTTTGCTAGCAAATATATGAACTTACCAAAAAGTATGATTCTTTGAGAGCTGGGAGTTTTTTGATGATGTAGTCGAACAATATGGAAATTATCTTATTTTTAATAAAGTAGCATTAGTTGCTACTAGTTAATTAATAGTGGAATTTAATCAATATTCTAATTAAAAGCCTAGTTCAAAAAATTGCTAATAAATAAACTGTCTTCGATATCGTGATAAAACGAAGAAAGAATATTTGATCTTATTTTCCAATAATTTCCATGATTGTATTAAGATTAATTACCTTTAATAATATATACGTTAAAATAAGAGTATATATGTAAAGTAGAAATATTACCTCATACTAAAAAAAATGCGGCCTCGAAGTATATATTCAGACTTTGAACTATTTTCTGATTGCAAATCGACTTGAACTTCTTAACGCCAGATCATTTAAAAAATAGAACGTCAAATCGCAATGGGTTCGAGTTTGGTAAACAGAAAAACTCGCTCATACATTCATTTGCATATCTCATAGAACATTCAAGATATCATGCCGCTCTGGTTTACAAAAATAAACTTCATCTGTAGCGTTTGCATGTGAAAACATGCGAAAAAAGAACGATATAAAAGCCGAATTCCTGGCTTTTTTACTTTTTTATCATAAAGAGGGATAAATTGCAAAGAACCGACAAATAAAACACGAACGCAACAAATAAAGCACGAACTCATCGAACAGCCAGGAGCGATTTACCATGACGCTAATGGCACTATATGCATCGGGACCTAGAACACTATCAGCTTGTCAAAAAGATCGATAAATGATTATTAGAATTATATAAAATACATTTGCTAGCGTGCAAAGAATGGAATAAAAATTTTCGCTTGTCCCGAATATTCGGATGCCCATCAAGCACTCGAGTTATAAAAGATTTTTGCGTTTTCTAAAATACGGATCCGACGAGACTCGCTTACCATGTAACTTTTGAAACGCTGTTTTGGAGTGGCCATTGCAGTGTGCGTATTTCGATTAGTGCGTACAAAGTCAATAATCACCGTCCAAATGAATATATTTCGACAGATTAGCCAAAGGATCTCTAGACATAAATATTAATTTTCTACTAGGTTAACAAACGTCGATCTAGCCAGGTTACACTTTCTCAAATTTGGTTTAGCACAGGAATCCTAACATAATTATTAGCTTCAAATCACTAAAAAGGGAATCAAATACGTCACTGCGAGCAGCATGATCCGTGAACATCCGTCGCTAAGAACCAAACATACTCGTAAGCGTAGGTTTAACAAGGTTAGCGTATCTACGACTTCTAGGTTTTTATGCGCGTGCATTCTCGTGTAATGATAGATAACTCCGTCCCACGTTATTCCTAAATTATTCTAAAACGCCTTGCCGTAAGATTTAAATGTCTATCTGAAATCTGAAGTCATTTCCCCTCTATCGAACGGCAGTTGTTTTTCTATTATTCTTTCCTCTCGATCGACTTCACATATCATAGCACAGCCTCCGTAGCGTGCCCACTTAATCGACTAGTCACGTCTATTTGATGCATCTTGTTTTACAGTATTGTTTATTTGTTTAATCAATTTTCACGTAGTGTGCATGCTACTAAATTGTCTTATTTCCCTTCATCGTGCCCGTTGTTCGATCGCACTGGTACACGCAGTTCTTCAGCAAAAACTCTCTGTCTCTTTTTCTTTATCTCGATCGCGTTGATAACATCACATCGAGATTAGGATCATCAAGTCAGTCGCCGGTATTCTCTTGTGACCTCTATATTACGCCCGTCCCGCGATCCGGGCAAATCGATGCGGCAATGTGACCAGCCAATTAAGAGGGAAAGTTCAACGATAAGCCTTGGCTCTTTCTGCCCAGGCAAATAAGTCCACGCTGGGGATCGCTTCAAACATCGTACAGGATCTCAACTCGTTTCTGATGAAAAATGTAAAAAATGCATACGTTACTTGTTTGTCGAGCGTTGCACAAGCTAAACTCCAGACTTTGACAATACGTTATTCTTTTATGACACTATCTTGAACTCGTAAAATATACTTAGTAAAATAATTGGTTATCAACTTACCCTGCTTGTGGTCGGAGGAATACATTCGGTTGCATTTCTGTGATGTTGTTACCATTATCGCAGAATATTCTTGCTAATGTTACATTGCGTATTTCTGCCAATTGTTCTGTAATGTAAATTTCAGCGCACTTAAAATTTGTCCTTTTATAATTATATTAAGCGTTTACGATGATTTTAAAAAAATGATTTCTTACCAACTGTGAAAGGTTGTGGCTGATTTACAGAATCGTAGAAATATCTGTCGGTGCGACGAGTTCTGGAAAATTGTTCGGAGATCAAACAACGGAAAGTTACACCTAATAATCCGTCCTCCGTTGGTCTCTCAGCCATACCACCAATGATAAGATCAACGTCATCTGGATGGGCGTAAATTGTGCGCAATTTCTTCGTCATCTGTTAACAGAATAAACAACAAATGTTTAAAAAGTTCAAGTAATTTGGAAGTTGAAATATTTCTTCCTTGTTTTCTTCTTTTCCCAAAAGGTTTTATATTTAGAAAAATTTCATTAAATTTCATTAAGATAATGAATATATATGAAGCGTAAAAATTTTGTTGGCATATTTACCTCCATTGGAATGTAGTCTAGGAAATCATCGAAGCTCTTCGCAGCTGGAAGGCCGCAATATTTGCGGTAATGATTATATCCGGGTAAACCGTGATCACGGCCACGCTGAATATCCAAGCTGATAGCATCTAAACCTAGGCTGTCCTGATTTGTAGCGAACAGTTTGCTTGTTACCTACAAAACACAAATAATTTGTTCTCATTGACTTGGTTTTGTACATTAAATTTTCGGCTTTGGATAGTTTATTTTTTATCGTTTTAAAATCGATGGTTAGATCGACTAGACTAGAGGAAGAGCGCATACTCACGTCTTCAATTATGCTGACATCCATCTTCTGACTGGACTGAGTAGCCATACCACGCAGTAAACCATCGAATATTTCATGCGACTCGATTATATTTGGTTTATAAAAATATTCCGCCAATGAAACTGTTTTGTTGATCTGACGTTTATTGTCTGTCAAGCTGTAACATAAAACCGTAAATAAAACCGTTAATATGCTCGTTATGCCTTGACTCTGATAAAATATTATTAGATTAAGTATTTAATGATCCTTTTATCTCCAACTAGTTCCTTATCGTTAACTAGCTACGTTTTCTTGTATTCGCTATTTTCCTGTATCTACGTATCTGTGCAATAAACAATATAATCGCTTAACGAGTAGGACGTAGATCCCGCTACATTAGAATAACTAACGATGTTCGACCGTTCGCGGAGACGCGATCGCGAAGAAACGCGCCAACGAGAGTCGTAAATTCCCGTTACGATTTGATAATCGATGCCACGAACTGGTCGATCCCCTATTTCAGTTAGGATAATGGAGGTGGTTGAATCGATGATAACACTTACATAACGAATTAAAACACGCACTTAATTTCAACAACTTTGTAGGTGTAAGTAGTATATAGTAGTATATAGTAAGTTAAACTGATGACTGATCAATGAACGGGAAACCGTCAAGAGATGGTGACTGATCTAAGTATGAAAAACCAATGAAATTCGGTGACGATGTTGTCGCGGAAAGTTCTTGATGGGTGTGTCTAGCGTAGGGGACCATCGGATTCGTTGATGGCAATTTTGGACAGGAAAGTGAGGGCAACTGTCATTGCTTCTAATTGAATAAGAAAAATCAAATGGGGTACATTGCCCGTGGGTGGTATTGTACATGGGAAAACCGCTTTCCCGTGTTTTCTCGGAATGAACAATAAATCTAACGAATACTTCAACTTAAAAGATACTTGTGTGGTCTGGAGGACTTTAATTATAAAAATGCGAAGATTTATGATAAAGTCCTTAAGATTATCGAGGAGCCGCAATCTGGCTGCCATCTCGGTCGAGGTATGAGATGTGGTTTGCGTAGGGAGTCATCAGACGTAACGAATGATGAAACCTTTCAATTTCTTAACCGAAGCATAATATCTGTTCTTGGATTCATGGATCTGAATAATATAATCGGCATCGTACGAATGACGATTACACATTCGATTCATTTTAAAATACAATATCGACTCACCTAATCTTTCCTTGTAACAAGGAATTCATAAAACGCAGAGCTGCTGTCGCGACTTCGTTACTGACTGCTGGCTCATCCTCGGAGTTGTAGTTACGGCTGTAGCTATTTCCAACGGCGAGACCAATCGCCCGAGTGTATCTCTTGCCCAGTAATATCGGCAGCCACTCTTTATACGTGATATGCTGAATTTCAGCAATTACTATACGCCTGGCTTCCTGATACAGCGTCTCATCTGACCAGTGAGGATTCAGCTCGGCGAGCTTTCTGGCGATTCTGTTGTGTTCACGGTGCCAGATAGTGTGTATCGCAGCCAATTGTGGATGCGTATTTACACGATTATCACCTATAGCGAAGAAGTATTTTAGTAGCAGAAGTACTTTGCAAAATATGTAGTTTCGTGACATGATCGATACTGATTGTACGAACGATTCGTTGTTATTTTTTATCGCAGATCGAATACAAAGTACGAATAATTACCAGAATCGTAACACCCATTCTTGCATTCTGAAGAGTTTTCAGCAATTGGCAAGAAATCGTGGTCGTTGCCCCTGTGAACGCGCAGCCGACCTCCTTCGAACTCACGAAGCTCGCGAGATTTCTTCAACGTAGAACCATAGATCGTAGAACCATCCAAGAAGTGACTCGCTTGATTCATCTATCATTGAAAATCACACTGTTGCATCTGGTACCTTCTAACGATTTATATACAGCATTTAATGGAAAAGTTAATTTACCTGTTCTATAGGTCCGAAAGTACAGTCTGACTTAAGGACCGGCAACGATCGCACGTAATTCATGCATCGCACGTAATGTTGGCCATAGACGGGATCTCGATCAGGTACTATAATCGCAGAACAATCAGGATGCATGTATCGAGGAGACAAGGCGTTCCCGTCTGATCGACAGCATGAGATCGGTTTTCCCGACGATACTGTAAATAACAGTAAATCAAATGAGAACTTAAACGAATATTTTAGTTACAGTTATAGAAAATACATGCGTTTAGTCTGAGAGTTACAAATTTACCGTAACTAAGAATGTGTTGCAATTTTAAGATTAATAGAACATAATAGAATGGATATTAACATATAATACGTATTACGGTATTTTCAGTGCGGTATAAATTAATACATCGAGCTCATCGATTAATCTTATGTTAGTCTCGTTGATGCGAGGTACACCGCTTTGTAAATTTTTCCTACCGTTTTAAAACTCGATTTCCTAACTTTATAGAACTACATGCTAGATCTTAGGTCTTCATGCTCTTAAAATTACTTATGCACGAAGGAAATATTATTAAAATCTTCTTTCATCGTCTCTCGAATTTTATCATTTTTATCGTAATAAATATATTCTTCGTCTTAAATATCGTCTGAAACACTTACCCATCTTACGCATTGGAGTATACGAAATATCATTCGTGATAAATTGCGTCCATTGTACGACCGTCAACGTTCTGCTGACATCCGATTGATCGTTGGGTGTGGATAAAGCCACGCTTACGCTTCTAGCACCTGGCAGCGGCTTTCTCGTTTGTCCCATGCGTCTCGGTTCTTGAATTCCTGGTCGCCAAATGAAGCATTAGCCTCGCGTTTTTTCTCGCGATATGTCGTCAAATCGGAGTAATACCACAGTTACGTTTCGCAAAATGATGTTCGAATCTACCAACCGGCACCGATATCGTACAAATTTGCTCGTTTCTGAACGGTATCGATCGACGAACAACGAAGCCGAAACGATGAAATAGTTGCATTCGAGACATTACGATTACTCCGATTTCGACAAGGTTTTGCATGTGAGCTTCGCCTATGCATGTGAAAATAGTGTTCGTACAGCGCGAGAGCGAGAGACTGATTCGCGACTGGTTTAACAATGCCTGATTCTGTATACCGAAATCGAGCTTTCAAATCCCTGCATACGAGAATCCCAAGCCTAACCGCGCCTATAAAACCTGCCTCAACTTGCGACCAATTCGTCAGAGACCAATCAGTAGATGACATCATGGAGTCTTCTGTCTACCGATCTATTCAACGACAATTGCTTTTCAACCGCGAACCGTTTCACCAGAATGTTCGTTTTTTTCTTCGTTTTCGTTATCACGCACGTCCCAGCAGCCCTGATTGATCTCTGGATCTACTAAGATGCGGCAGCTCTCGCGCTGCAGAGCAGCAGTACAAAATACTTGTCTTCTACTTATTTTGCTCGACATGACGTTCTGATGCGTTATCGACGAAAACACGCGCGCTGAGAACGAATTAAAAAAGAGAAACCGGCTCACATTCGATTCTCTGTTACGACTACTGATTCTTTAGTTTTGCTTATTTATTGTTCTTAGAACGATCACGTCGAGAACGCTCGCAGAAGGAATCAAGTGACTTATCTAGGTGATAGGCTGATGAAGGTGCCCAAGTGAGAAAATCAAACTGGGAGCGATCGTCTCAACGTCCTATCGTGCATTCTGTATACCGCGTATCTCTTAGCTCTTTGATGTGCGATACATCGTGTCCATATTCTTTACGTCTTTAGATAAAAACTTTGATAAATACCAAGATCGTCAACGATACGTTCAATATACTACGTTTCACCCTATCACAAGATCCTAGAACCGCGAATGACTCCCAATTCTCATTCGCTTGTCTCGGACACCTTTAACGAGACCCGTATACCGCAATCAACAGAAAATATTTGAACTAGTGTTACAATAATAAATATGATACATTATTAGGTATATCCGAATTAGATTACATACACATTCTACTGCTGGATAGAATCTCCCGACCGGGGCACCCTATTGTAGGCAGTATTATTCACTGCTACACTCAGGCATTTTATGCTCTATGTGCCTTATCGCACAACAACTGTAATGCAAATCACAGAATATAATTTGTTAAGCCAATCGACGAACGTTTTTTTTTCTGTTTTCCATCCATTAGCGCCCAGGGATCAGAGAGTGTGTTCGTTTTCATATTTACATATACACAAATGAGATATAATATATAGATTCTTTAAGCTTTGCTTTGCGTCTGTCATCTGTGTGATAAATATGTATGGGTGTATGATTTTCCTGTTTCGTTGTTTGTGATCGTATATAATTGTGCAAGGTGTCATTGTGAGGACTAGGTGGGTTAGTGGGTCGAGGCTGGTAACTCGCGTGCACCACCACGCAATTTGTAACGATTTCCAGTCGTCAACAGGAAACGGTCGCCCGTTTTCCTTCGTTTTATCACAGAGTTTACCAATTTTTCGACTTTGCTCGACATCAACGGCCGACGAATGAAAGGAAGAGTTTTGAGAATGCAACGAACATGAGATGCGATGATACCATTCTACGTGTATCCTTGGTAAATGTAACGTGTCTTGTCTAAAAAGCGAGCAATTATGCAAGAAGCCTGTTTGGAAACGAAGTATAGTGACAGTCCTGCGGTCGATTGAAATTCAATTAATTGTGGCGGAATTTTTAATTCGCCCTAAGAATTATGTAAGAAATCCAGTGTAATGTCCAAGGTGTCCTAGAATTATCGTCGTAAAATTAATCAAAATTACTTATATGGAAATATAAGAGCAACGTCCTTGAATTATTCTGCAGAAACGCGTGACGGCGAAGGTTCGAGTACAGCGAAGCGAGATGCACAAGGTACTTCGCGCGTTTATACCACGTACGTCTCTCGTCTCTTCTTGGTAAGCCTCGAGAATTTATCGTATTACCGTTCCTGTTCGTGCTATTTTATTAGACGTTTATACTACCGTGTCCCGACCGAAAATAGGGAAAATAACGAAGTTTACCACGCTACACGAAATGTTCAATATTGTAACGAATATGACAAAAGCGTAGACCTTTGGAAGAAGGAATTCTTTAGAAATTCTCGTACGCTTTGTACGTACGTTAACGCGTTCCAGAAATATGAGGTCACGCTCCGACTTTACCTCAAGTTTTGACTACTCTTCTTCTTCTAAGTTTAAAATAATTTTTGCTAAATTAAAAATTTAAAATTAGAATAATAGTTGCGTGGAGAATATACAACGACATTGTGCGCGCGTAAAAGAAACTTTACTCGAGTGTAACAGCCAAAATTGTAAGTTTCCGTACATTTTTTTTCTACGCGAATAAAAGAATCAGTCGTTGAAAGCTTCATTAATCCAAAGTATACTTTTCTTCGCAAATTCTACCGAAACAGCGATTTTTGTCCGTAAAATATTCAGTTTCCGAACGCATTTGCAGAAAACAGTTTGCTCGACAGAAATTGCTTGAAGCGAAGCGTTCGCGCGTAATCTTTTATTGCTTTCTTGCAGTATCGTGCAATTTGTCAGCGTTATATGTATATGTTGATAACTACCAAAGTACCGAACATACAATTTGTGTATTATTGCACGACATTTCTAATTTGTTTATACGTATGACTGTACCGATGTAAACCGAAAGTCAAGTCGATAGGCAGACAGAAATAAAGATATACTAAAACATTTCTAGGACACCATGTACACGTTCCAGCGTTACAGCCAAATTGCACAGTTTCGTCTTCTTCATGGACGTTCGTAAAGACGATCAGATATGCGGCACGTGCACGGGGACCGATACATCCCACGACGCAACAGATGAAAGTGATACATTCCGCAAGACGAAAGATGAAAATGCCACATTTCGCAAACACAAAAGATGAAAACGACACATCCCACGTCGCAAGATGCGTGTCCAGCTTATATAATATGTATACTTGGCTAACTGCATCTCGCATTTATGCAGACAAATACTACTCCGTTTCGTTGGTAAGTTTAATGGAAGCGACTGCGCATCGCGTACCATTGGAAAACGTGGTGGAAAGTATTCTTGGATCGTCGGCCGTTTCGACGCATACCAGATACAAAATGAGATCGTTTCTCGAAGAATCTACCACGAGAAATCCGGCAACGAGAAGAAACGATCACATAGATAGACGACAGAGGAATCAGGACGGATGCGTGAGAGGAGAAGAAGGAAGCGCCAAGCGACCAGAGGCTGCAAATAATTGTACCATTATTATTCCACACAAATAGGCCACGAAACACGGTATGGTGAAGCCAAAATATATCTCGAACTGTTCTTTTGTCTATTTCCGGTATATCTCGTCCGTTCGAAAGCCCGAGCAGCGTACGAATGTTAAAGACAAGAGAAAAGGACGCGTGTCGCGCTAATAACCGAAATCGTGAGAGCCAATCGAAAAACCGACGATTTAAACAGGGCCGACGTAACAATTCGAACGTAGCGGCGATCGCGATCGTACGAAATTCTCGCGACTTTCCATCGCACAAAATGGGGACTATGTATAACGAAATATGATAGACAAGTCCTTCTATTTTTTTTTCTTTCTCTATTGATAGTCACATGGTAGGAAAAATCCTTACCATCAAAATATTGGGGGAAGAGAATTCTGGTGTACGCGGTCATCGCACTACCCCAGCTTGGATTTTCGACGTTGTTGCAAGCACCGTCGATGCTTCGGTACTTGGCCGTGAGATCGCAAATCGGGTGTCGCAACGTCGGACAAGCTGAGTCCAACGGTGTCCCCTGAAGCGACAGCGTTGATATGTAACGAGCGCAATCATCTTTCTCCAAACCAAATCTGTAACAAACGCCAGTTGTTTCTTATAAATATATTAAGTACGCGGTAGTAGAATGTGGACAGACGTCCACGGACTTGTTTACTATCCGTCATAATAACATGCTATTAAACCAGATATTATCATCTATAATTTATAGAATGCTTAAGGTATTACCATTATTGATCTTTGTAATAAGACAGACAACGTTCTATCGAAGATTTCGTACTTCAGAGGTATGTTGTGGTAATATTCAGACGAATTCTTGCGAGCTTAATATTATAACGATACGTAATACATTAACCCTTTGCGATCCTACGTCGAGCCAACTTCGATATTCTATTTCGTTCGATTTTAATTATAATTTAACATAGAGAGCGAACCCTTAATCCTTACGTGTCGTGAATTAACTGGACAATTGAGACAAAACTTGAAATGCAATTTGGATCACAAAGGGGTAAAGACGTGTAAATTGCTACATTAAAGATAGTTCTTCACTCACAAGAATTGGATTCACTCGGCGAGAATAAGTTTTAAACTTTATATCAGAGTACATCGAATATCTTAATCGACAATTTTCTTGCAAACTAATAATGTTGATTGTAAAAAGGCCAAGGTATTTAACCCCTGCTTGAATTCTCCCGTTAATGTGACGTTCAAGTACATAGAGATTTACTTGAAACGTTTCATATTACATGGAATAAAAATAGAAATAAATTTTTGTTGGCAACTCCCATTTTCATATTTTTCTTGAATTGCAAATAAATCTCCTCTCGTTCGTTGCATTCAAAGAAAATATGTTTAAGGACAAAATTGCACCTGCATCTTCTTAAAATCAATGTTCACATTAATATGCATCGTATAAAGATCAGCGATGTTAGGTGAATTTACAATAATAAGATTAAAAGTGCAGAAAAAATTGAGAGAAAGGTGAATGTTCTGCTGATATTCAAATTAAAAAGTATTTGCAGTCATAGCTATTCCAATTCTCTTTAAAGATGAAGAATGGACTGCTGTTGGGAGTTCAGAAGATGGTTTCAATTGGTTTGTTCGTTCAAAACCATCTTCTGATATCTCGATAGTAAACAACTTTCCAAATGATCTTTTTATTGTGCAAAAAGGCATTCTTATTAATCCAACGTTGCAAGCAGAGTATCAAAATAAAATAAGACTCGGATTAATAGTTTAATTGCAAATACAACGAGAACTTTCGTTAGAAGACCAAGCGATAAACGATACAAATTTACAAGTATTTTGTTAATAGTTTTCAATAGAAAAATTGTAGCGAGATATTTAAATCTAAATTCTTCGATTGTACTAAGAAGAATTCATATCTTTAGCTTTTACACCACTTGGTATTGCACCGTTTCGATAGTAATAGAAATTACGATAGTAATATTTGATTTGATCGTATTATGACGTGAAAATACGATACAGGAAGATACAATGTTATTTATTTACTCGGACTATGTAACTAAAATAAAAAATTATTTTAAGATATCCCACTGGACTTATTTCGATCTCAGACTATGGTGTATAGAATATGTTATGTTTACTTTGCATCCCAGATAATGGGTATGTATTCAATGAAATGAAATGCAAACAATTACCGTACACAGATAGCAGAGTAAAATTCAATATTCGATAAACCATTGTATACCATACGTATATACCAAGTGTTCAAACAGTACGAAACCATTTTCCTTCTAAAAATAATCTTCCTTTTGCACAATTTCCTCCTTTTTCCAGATAATATAGCAAATACAGTGATTCTTTACGAAGGAAATCCACTTTAACGAAAGGTTCAGCGTTGAAAAGTAAGGAGCAGCGGATATAATGGCTGAAGGCAAAAAATAAGTTTAACGTGTTTGAAAAAATTCAGAGATTGAAACAGCGATATAAAATTTCAGCTCCAGCTAAACGTCCTACGCAACCACTTGACCCGAACCTCGTTCGGAAAATCTGCGGAAGATCGACTCGTCGTGGTCCTACCTTTCAAACTGCCAAAGGCCTCGACTGATCGATAGACACTGAACGAGGGCAAAGCCGTGATTTATTTAGAGGGAACGTTTCAAACACTTTTCAACGCTGAATTCATGCACAAGTGGTCTTTCACCAGTAACGAAACATCCTGCGGAGTCGTAACAGTCAATCGAAAGGAGTTTTGACCTAAGAGGTGTATGTTACCTGCGACAGTTCTGATGAAGGAGATAGGACGAAGCTTTCATCGCCACAATGGCGTCGAGGCCTCTCTCGAAAGCATCCTCGGAAGGATATGAATCAAGGAATTGTTTTCCAGCCGGCGTGTGAGCCATCAATTCGACGCCAGCATTCGCGATATTCCTTTCGAGGGTGCTCATACGATCGATCAAGCTTTGCGCGAAAGTGATCGAGTTGTTCAAGACCGCCTCGTCAATGTGAGGGTAACGTCGATTATGGAAACGACCTGTGTCTACGACGCCGCCCTCGTAAGGGTCGTTCGACATCGGCAAACCTGAAAGGATACCTTTAAAAACGTCGGTGAAATGGGTTCAGTCAATTGAACTGTGTTGGTCGCGACTTAACGGGTTGAAGCTTTAATTTAAGATGCAAGATTTTCAACGAATTTCTTATCGAATACACGTAAGGAGGAAAAGTACATTATATATTTCTCCTGTGTTTTTTCTTTTTCTGCAGAATTTTGCAAATATAATAAACTACGTAGGTGTAATCGTTAGAGAGGCTGTTTATGTTCTGATAATATTTACGTGTGGCATGATCATGTATCTTCTTTTTTGTAATCGTGAAGAGATCTAATGTAGAAGATACGAACGGTACAGAAAGAATTATTTGTTGATAAAATATTGTATTACATAAAAAAGATTGGAATAACGAAGTTGAGTAATCTTTAATTTTTCAAAGGTTTTCCAAATAATTAACATTTAGACGTATAGACTATAGAACACGTATAAATTGATCTCCTGACGTAACTTTTATATATAGACTCGATAGAATCTCAAAACTGTAAAACACGGATATAATTTACTGCGATTATTGCGTTCATTATATATTTGTTTAGAAATAGAGTAGAAGGATAGAATCGTTATTTGTTAAAATGCTTATAAATTTATTTTAAAAAGAAAGTTCGTTAAAACCAATAAAAAGCGTTGCAACTGCTCGATAATAGTAACTTCGTAAATGCATATTAAAACACCATAGGTAGTTTTATATAAGAAAAATTATGAAGACAATGGTTAAAAATGTTTAAGTATTAAATTTAATGTACGTTGAACTAAACATTTGTCTGTAATAAGTGATCTTACCTAAAAATCAAATATTCGATCAAACAGCAATAGCTGTAAAATTATTAAATACAACTCTGTACTTATGTTTCGATAATGTTTAAAAAATGCAGTTCACAACAGCATTGATCAATTTTGTTAAAATATATTTACAAGACATTCGCCTATGGGCTTAGGTAGGCTCTAAGTATAGTCGTACTGTTCGACGTTGGCGATAATCGAGGACAAAATTCACCACCGAAGGTATTGGTTACTCGATCAGAGGATCAAAATTTTCTTCGTCGACGAAAAGAACAAAAGGTAGAAAAAAACTGTGGACGACCTACCTGTGTAACTGGCAAGGTAGTTCTGCACAGACATCGGCAATTTATAGGCACCGATCGCGTGCGAATTCCCAAGGAATCCCATGGTTTGCAGAGAGACCCAGAGAATCGCCAAGGTAGCCACGGAACCCGCCATTAGTCCTCCAGCTGCACAGAACCAAACGATCTTTCGTTATTTATTTGCTGCAAAAACTTCTTGACCGATGATTCAACGCATATACGATCGTATTTACAAAACTAACTGAAAACACTGCTTTTTTTTTATTGCGAAAATACGTTGCAAAATGGTCAGTCGAGTAATTTCGTGCAACAGGGTGTTTACATTTAGACCAATAAATCTCGTTTATTGCAATAGCTTAATAGTTTAAGGTTCGTTGTAGAGATTAATTGATCGATTGGTTGAAACGGTTCTGGCAAATTGCCGTTCTTATGAGATTGTCACTGTCCAGTTCTTCTGTATTTCGTAGACGTGATTCGATTGAACGTATAATTTCAGCTTGACAATCGTATGTTGAGATTGCGCGCAGATATTTTTTATATACGCGATATAAAGACCAATGTCGTCAAAAGTTAATTGAATTCGCAAAATATATTAATAACTACAGTTTTAGAAATTACTTACTTCGTCTCCCTTTTCTTTTTTGTTTAAGATAAGGAAATAAAGATTGAAGGGGCATTGACGTCATTGATAGTGAGGTTATCAAAAGATGTACGCCGCTTAATTCTGCGTAAACACGTACGCACGAAGCGAAACTCGAAGCTGTCGGCATAATTATAGAATCTTATTTTCTATATTAATTTTCAGTTGTTACGAGCTCCAATGAGCGTCTTTTTTTATAACATATGATAAGAGACTGAAATTATACGTCAAAACTTGATCATCAAATACGCTATAAATATCAAGCAAAATAGGCGACACGAACAAAATGATCTCGATATGCTACCAATTCTGTGGCTCAAATAGTCAGACGAAACCTCGAGGTTCGATCTGTCTGTCGAATTGAAACGCTCGAAGATCCTATCGATTAAAAAAATTAAATTGTCAATCCGTTTTATTTAAGATTATCTTGCGTCTACTATTATTCTATCTAGTTGCTACGACTTGCTTGTAAATATATAAATAGGTTTAAAAAATTAAAGAGAAAAACAAATCGTTATCAGATTTCTTATCAACGCCACGATGATGTACATAAAGTTTTCGTTTACAAGAAAATATAAACAAAAAACGATAGTAATTCTGGAAATGTTACTTACGACTTTTGAAATGAACCGTGCAAACACCTTCGTGATGAAACCATAAATGATTGTATAAAACGACCGGTTACTTTGAAACATACAGATTTCCTAAGACATCAAAGTCTTCTAATTTATTTAAGTTCGCCAAACTCGTTCAAACGTTCGCTGTTTCCACTAGCGATGATTTTCAAAGAAAAGAACGAGACGCGCACACTGCTACGCCTCTACTGTCAATTTTGTTCGCTTTACTATTCACATAAAATCGATGCATCGACTGTCTAGCCGGCTTGTTTTCCTAGAACTACCATTGGAACATTTTTTTCTTTTCTATTTATACCATAGAGAAGATCGACGTGTAAGATTTATGTGTTTGATTACACGTTTATCAGGAAAGTGTAGGTTCGAGATTTGTGAGATAAATACTGCGTTTATTTTCCAGTGGAGCATTTTTCATGCCACGTTATTTCCAAGACTACGCAGTCCGATTCCTAATTGCACAGTTTCTACGTTCTTGATACTTCCTTGACTTTAATGACGCTTCATAATCGACATACATACGAAACAACAATCGCAAATCTGTGGCGCCTTTATTCTATTTGCGTCCAGTATTTTGCTAATGTATTTTCATAGCTTCGAGCCGTTACACATCCTATTATTTTCCATCTTTTCATTTATCTTCCTGCCGTTTCGTAATCTACAGGTGATCCGACTCGAACGAAAATAGAATCCGAGCAACGTGTTACGATTATAACGCTTCCAAATTGTTATAATTGCGACTACGATAGAATCGTGCTGGGATGATGATATTGATAACATTACCGATCAATGATTCATTCACGAGTGACTACGTGATTAGCATAATATGCATATACAAAAGGTTAGAACGATAAGTGTACAAATGCAGTCGTACAGAATCATATATGTACGTAAGTAGAATTTTTGGCAATAATTATTTAGAAGTATCATCGCCTCACCGATTTGTGGATTTTTTAATATCTTCTACAGATCAACATTTTCAACAATTTTTTCCCGCGCATATAATTCCCCGCTCAGCCTTAGTCTCCGAGATATTCATGAAAATATTTTTGCGTTGTAACCTTGATACGCGTTGGATGTCGCTTAGGTTTGGGTTAGACTTATCTACAGACATAATTACATATACACATTATATGCCTGGGTCGCGATGAATTTACATATCTCAAGTTTCAATTTGTGAAAGGCAGATAAGAAAGAAATGCGACTGTAGTTAACGTTGCCTCGTACCTAACCCGAACTTAATCCGATATACATCATTATGCTGGCTAGCGGTTAAAAAAGTTTTCATGTAATTTCCATCCGGTAATTTCAAGTGAAATGAAGAAGCCCGATGACCTCTGTGACCTCCTTGATTTAAGTTTAGGTTAAACTTTTTACTCCGCTCGAATATCCATTATGCGTAACTAAAAATCTTCTCTTGACTCATTCTGTGTTTACAGACAGATTGAAACGCGAGATTGTAAACTCATGGCGTTGTAAACACGTAATATAATCATGCCGGGTATCTACATAAGTCTAATGGAAACCCTAAACGGCACTCAACGCGCATCAAAGTAAAGATATCAAAAATATTTTCATGTATATGTGGAAAGTTGTTGAAAATGTTGATTTCTACGACATATTCAAGAATCATCGAAGTCGGTGAGGTTCTAAATAATTGCAGAATTTTTTTTTATATAATTTATAGATACTTTAAATGTTTACGCGCTTTCGACACTTTCGTCATAATATTTATGTATGTCTTAAAAAAACAGGAAATGTTCTACAACCGCATACTGATCTTGAGAAAGACGAAGAAACATCTCGAAACAAATAAAAATCTAAAATTATTCCCTTCGATTTTCACTGTCGAACGTGGTGCGTGGCAATAAATTGTATTTTACATATAATGTTTGAAGAACAAAAGAAGTGTTGAAGTTTAACGCTAAACCAATTATCCAATGTATCTTTCATTTCATATCTTCAAAGTAAATACTTTTATGTCGATTTGTATTTACTAATACCTAAACAATACAAGAATACTCGTATTATATCTTTTACGATATACTGGAACAATGTGTATTTTTCAACCTACTGATATCGCTGCTATCATCAAGATATCAATTATCCTAGAATGGAATTAACCCATTATAAAACCAGAGCGGAATTTACCATTCAGCCGTATTATGTATATAAATTGCACACAATAAGCATCGATCAATAATCGATAACACGCACCGATGAAACGTATCTGCTCGTTATACTTGTAGCGATAACACGGACAAATCTGAACGATTATAAAAATAAAAAGAAACGATTATAAAAACGAAAATAAAAAGAACGATTATAAAAATAAAAAAAATAAAAAGAAAGTATAAAATTTATCATTTTTCGTAAAACATCGATAGAAAACGATATTGACATAATGGATTACTTTCATAGGTATGGATCTACTTGATGATTTTGTCTTCTTATTCAGATCATACGGATGCTAATTCACGCATTTGCGTAGACAACTTGCACGGTTTTCACTTTCACTTTATACTTCACGGTTCTAACGTCTGGCTCTCACTACTCTTGTATAGCAACAACTACTTTTTCTAGGACAGCCACAGCTGGTAAGATTGAAATAACACGTTCCGTGTACGAAGAAGATGTAAAAAATGTAGAATAAAGGTTAGACATCTTCTCGTGCGAACGCCTAAACGCCTTAAGTCTTTCATAAACAATTGACAGATAAAAGTAAATTTTCTCCGAAGAAAGAAGGCAAATATTGAACTTCCGTGACTATGAATGAGCTACATTACAAATTCTATTTTCTTATTCTGCCACGCGTTAAACATAGGAAAAATATATGATTGCGATGAATGGGTACGAAGAAATGCAAACCAAATCCTATTTCTAAGCCAAAATAAACCAAGATACATACATCGGACGTAAATTTGAAACGTTACGTGTAACTGGTACCGATTCAATTTCGATATCTCGCTTCTCTTTCAGGAAATAGCAATCTTTTACTGGAACAGCGTTATAAATAAGCGTAAATTGAGCATTTTCCAGAATGAACGATCTAGCTGTTTCTTTAAGATAGAATTCCAAAAATAGTTTAACATAAATACCATAATCCAGATGAAAGAGCAGTGAAAAACCTGAAATCAACCATCTTCTATCTCGCTACTATCGCTAATACTGTTCGCTACTATAGTCATTTCGTAAAACGCAAGTAAAATATCAAAGATCTCCGCCGTACGTATACATCCAAATTATTATCTAATCGCCTCTATTTTCCTGTTCGTGCCAATGTAAACTCTGAAAACATGTACCATGGACCATGCACCATGGTACTTCTGAAGGAAACTATATTCGATCCTTTTCCTTCTCTCCTATCTCACTCTTTAAACGCAGATATATCCTTATCGTTAAAATAACTTTTCAACGAAAGTAGTCGGGTTTAAATTTAGCATTGTCATAGTACAGAATGATTCATTCGAGGCTACGCACCCTCGCCCTCACGAAAACAAAAATAGAGTCGAACTCGGAAGTGCTGTTTGGAATCGAGCCACCCTGTACCTCCGCGTTTCGATTCACAACACGGGACGGTCAGAAAAGTGACTCACGAGCCAGATACGATTAGGCAGACTCACCTTTCGTTCTTTTCGTCGGTTGCCCCGACCTTTAAGAAAATTTCGCGAGATATTTATAACTTGCGAGATGCCTCGTATTCCAGTAAAACGCGATCTCCACGCCTGTTTCCCGTCAAACGTTTTAAAATCGAGTCTCGTTACGTCATAGCACCTCGTGTTACAGCGAGTAAATATTGAAAATATCTGACAATAATTGCGTTATAACGAACCACAAGCTCTATGCATACAGTTACCGTTTTGCTATTAAGTAATTTACATTAATTCCCGAGATGGTATTGTATAACGCATTTGAGATAACTCGTTTGTATTGCTCGACACATCGAATCCAGCGTATTCTACGACGTATCCGGCGTGATGAATATTGAACAACAACCGGCACAAATATTTTTCTTACATGCAAATTACCGAACCGAGCTGAACCGTCATAATCTCTTTATTCATTCGTTTTCCTTCTTTTATCATACTTCGAAAAAGTTTGTAATTCGATCACTATTAAACATATAGAATGTGTTGAAAATTCGAAGTTCCAAGGATAAACGAACAAACAAATGTAATGCCTACTTGATATTACTACATCTTGCAATTATTCGTGTCACGTAAAGCCTCAATCATGTAATTACTTTGAGCAACACTGCTGTTGTAGTACTTGACGATTCGTTCATTAAACGTAATAAAAATTATCTTCATTTGCTTGAAATATTAGTAACGGATTTTTCATATTTTTTATTATCTACAATTACTATAATCGCCCATTGAAAGAGATATTGTATGTTTACCTTGTATGAATAGTATTGTACGTGTATCTAGATTTCTATATAATCTACTAAAGATACTTATTCTTTTGAACAGAGCACTTCTTATTCCTATACAGATAAGAACTACGTATTATCCAAGTACAAAAAATATCTAAAGCTTGAGAAAAGGATCAAGCAAAACAAACGATACTATGAAGTAGATTACGATTGGAATAGATCTCACGTTTTAATGATATCAACAGGGAAATACGCAAGATAATTGAAAACAGTAATTTGTTAGGTTCGAATGAATAATTACGTACTATCGCTGACTAGCTTTTGAATATTAATATTAAGAGAAATTAATTTTCAGAATCATTGGAAATTTCTAAAAAATGCAATGGAAGAATACATACCTAGTCGAATAAAAACAAGTCATAGGTAACGTGGTAAAGACCACCTGTTAAGATATTCTTTTCATTGCATGTCTGTGTATCGCATTGAAATTGCTTGGCTACATATTTACTAATGCAAAATGAACGTCAGGAGTATTACAAAATTTTTTGCTTAAATATCTTCTCCTATATACTTTTTTCATATTTCAAATTATATTCTTGCACATGCGTATATATAATAATGACAGACTGCACATATTTTTCATTCAACATTTCATTAATTTATATGGTCTGTACGTTGTAAAATTAATACTTAAAACATTTTGTCTTTACTACTGCTTCGTACCAAAATAGATATTTCATGGATAAAATATTTAGTCGTTTCTACAGTTCATCTTGTAAAAATATTTTGCAAATCTTTTACACTACTCCGCATTTCTTTTACCACATTTTTCTGTTATCCAATAGTGTACACCAATAAATTTCTTCCTACGTATTTTATTTTTCTCCAAAATTATTTTCACTCTCTGAAAATAACATGGCAATTCACTTCTCGGCTGAGTGTTCCACTTAATGGCAACATGTCACTGTTTTTATTACGTTTAAACTAGTTAAACAGATAATTAAAAAGATTGTTAAATAGTCAGCTAATTTTGAAACAGTTCAATAATTAGATAATTTTAAGACAGATAGTCAAATGATCGTAATAGAATATGTTATATCTCATACTGAATTAAGCAAAAGATTTCAATTTTATTGCGTAATTAGTCACAATATTTTCCTGCGAGTGAGTCATACGAGTCAAAGATCTTATTTTCTACGTCATATTTCGTATTACGTTAAAATCCTACAGCCATAACATTGATAAACAATCGAGTGTTTTAAAAATTCGTAGCTTGACCTAGATAACACCGCTGATAAGAGCAATCAATATTACTATTCATTTTCATCCAGCAGGCTTACGTCTTAATACGTATTCGACATATTCTAGATAAATTGATATTCCATTTTTACTTGTTATAACAACGTAAGTCATACTGATAGCCAATTTACCATTTTGGTGACTTGCATTCAATAATATGATGGCAGTGATTGTTAAAATAACGTAAGCGCAAGATGAGTGTAAATTGTGAAGAGTGCAATTCCCTAGAAAATAATTATATTCTATACAAATGCCATATTGCTAAGAACTATGTCTCAAACCGCAAGAACTATCTACACTGGTTACACCTGTCTGAATTTCTTCACGCAAGAAGCATACTGAAGTCATAATTTAAAACTTGAAATAAGAGCATCGATTGATTTGGCCGCAGCTAAGATCTATACGCTTTGGCCATCTCCTTTGGTATCTCCTTTTAGATCTGCGGAAATTTCTGTTTCCTGGTTAATTTTATGACCTTGCTATGTATATACATATATCTTTCGCCGATAGTACCTAAAATGCTATTTACAATTTTCGTTCGTTTTTGCATTAAAGGCCGCAAAAGAATCACTAAGAGCCATACAAATATCTTATATGCAGTACAATACATACTATGTATGTATATCGGCTAATAAGAATCGTTTATGATCGTCGGATATGAAAAATGTGAGTAACACAACATTACCGGACACGTGATCCATGGGCTTCTCCAATCCATGCATCGTATAGGCCCAACGATTGTTGTCAGCCGGCACAACGAGGAACATTTTCAACACGCAAAAGCGAGACAGCTGTGTTCGCGTTAGAAACGATACTTTCCACACATTCAACGCGAACCTTTGATAATTCTCGCGCCAACACGAATCCGATTAATTACTCGACGAATTGAAAATATCTCTCTTTCGATACAATGTCAAGTTCAACGAATTAGAGGGATTTCGTTCATAAACTTTCTACGATAGATTCTCGTTGAAAGCTGCTCGTACAGGTGCGTTCACCTCTGACAACTCACACGAGTGAAAAAAATATTTGCGGACGCGCTGCGCTCATGAAAACTAGCTGCCGAAGATGAACCGAAGATTGAACGGTATACAAGTTGGCGAAGGAAACTGAACGCGAGCACGACACCGCGCTGCAGACTGCACAATTCTCTCTATCGTCTCTCTCTTTTCTATGTTGCCCCCTCTCATGTGCCCGCTTACCACATTCAGAATCTTACACACTCTCAAAGTGTTCCATCTTTCTCATTCACACTCCATACGAGCGTCTCTCTCTCTCTCTCTCGCTCCTTCAGAGTTTCTATACGTTGGACTACACGAGAACGTTTCTTACAGTGGATTAATGTGAAGCTCTTTCATTTGTCGAAAGCAACGCATCTAGTTAAACGCTCGTCTTGCTCCGAAGTTCATATATTTATGGGAATTTTGTCCTTTTTTTCCTTCGCGAAACGTTCAATACTCTCGCAACAGGCTCGCACTATTTTCGTTTCATTCGCTCGTACAGGCGCGCGTCTCTCTCTTGTTTGCTCGTTCAAGCGCGTGCATTAAGGTGTGTACACACTGATAAGATGACTGCACTATGCAAGCTTGTGCTCCTAAAAATAGTATAAATTATAAATCAAAAATTTTCTCACACTCTACGATGCTATTAGTTATAATGCATAATTGTATCCCGTTTAATGTTTCGTGCGATAGATAATGCAGGATTGTTTGCGCGTTATGTAACTGCGCATGTACCTTCACGACAAATTCATGGCATCCTCCTCTTACACTCAGCAACTTATGTGACTTTTTTGCTTTTTTCATTCTGCGTTCCATGCATTTAGACTGTCTTACTCTCACCTCCGTTGGTATACCGCACACGTTTATACTACGTACGTCTTTATATGCCTCTTTTTTTCCTAAGAAAAATTTCGTGCTCCTACTATCTTTCTTTACCTTAACGATCTTCGCAAGATCTATCTTGTATACAAAACCGTGCATAAATCTCTTTCAATTCTTCCTTAACCCCTCTCTCGCTCCCTCTCTCTCTCTCTCTCTCTCTCTCTCTCTCTCTCTCTCTTTCTCCCTTCTCATACACATACGTGCGCGCAAACGACACACGTACAATAACACAACCTTGCACATTTTATCATGCTTCCACTCGTTCGCTTGTGTACTTCGATTTCTTTCCTACGCACGGTACACGGCGATGATCAACTCCCACCACTGCTATACCTGAGCTCATCTATCTGTACGTTGCGTATTTCCATCTTTGTTTAACTACAATCTCTTGATTTTTCTATTGCTTTCTCCCTCGTACATACATTACGGTACAACATAAATTTTCCGTCTTCGTTTTGCTAGCGCTAGTCATTCTCTTGATTTTACGACTTGCCCGTGTAAGTGTGTATGTGTTTACTCGCTCGCTCGTTCATTCGCCAGACCCCACTATCAGGATAGGGTCACCTTATTCGGTCGAAGAAAAAGACTTCTATCACTCGATGAACACGTGCTCGTTCGGCTTCCCCACCGCTCGTTTCTCGCTGCATGCCAACTCGTAAGCGTGTTCCAGCCGTTCCAGGTTATCGCTGGCCGATTCTTCGTCGCATGATTTTCTGTTTACTAAACGGGGATGTGGAAACACGTGTTCCGTATGATATGACGTCTTCGAAAAACGATTCGAATCCCTAATAATTGAGAATATTCTCGCGTGTCATCGATCGATGTTGGGTACGCAAGTAAAGTAGCGATAGTCGATATCTTTCTTGCTTCGTGAAATTGAGAGCGGCTTTCACGTGGTCGTTGTTATTGCGACTTCTCGAGTTTCAGCTTAGCTGAAGCACTCGAGTTTTTATAAACTTAATAGTTTATCGGTTTTTGTTTGAAAACAAAGTCGTGAAAAATTACAACTTCCATAAGTTATCTTTCAACATGACACGAAATCAAAAGTTTGCTGGTAAATGTTTGTTGGTATGCTTTCAATTTGTGCGAAAATACCGTTAAACGCAAGCTGACCATTCATTCTTTCAGTTAGAAATTTGTTTGCGTTCGACTGATGAATTGAAAATTTCTTGAGTCCCGTTAGAAACAAGAATTTGTATATTCACGACAGTTACTGGCAATAAATCGTTGATTTATAATAAATGGAGGATTATTCATCGTGGTCAGATGACCATTAACCTCCTACGCCCTGTATTAAATTTATTTCGTTGCAACGTAAATTCCTAGAAAATTTTTCAGCAGAAATACATATTTCAGATTCGTGCAGAAATGTTAGCATTGTCCTGTATTCAATTATCATAAATCGATTCACTTCTCTCATGATTTCCTTAATTTCCCATATTTAAAAATACATACATGTTTGTTTGAAAAGATGTTTGCATTCAGTGCAAAATTCACCGAGGCATTTATGGATACAAAAGGTAGACGATATTGTAAATCCAGGAACTCTATCTCTGTCTATAATTGTCCTTTTTCTTATCTGTAAGGTACCCTCCAAACCCTTAAACCGTATATGGCACGTTTATGGATCCTACCAACAACCCAGTACTTTTCCACTGCTTTCACTGTGGCCTTCCTGTCCTGCGCAGTACCGATATTTACACAAGGGAACAACATGTAGATAGACGAATAAATACCTATTATATAAATCGATGTATTAGGTTGTCCCAAAAGTTCCCAAATAATATAAGTCCCACAAGTATTATAAAACAAAACATGTTGTGTACCTATTATTTCCTTACAAAACCTACTACTCATTCTACATACGATACAATGGTTACAGTCAATAGTAAATAATAAATCTAATATTTCTTATTTCGATCTTATTATACTCTTCTTGTACAAGATTGATAGATTGTGCTATTTGTTACGTGAAAAAAAAATTGTTTTGTAAAATTACTTCTCGTATACATTATACGTGTATTTTAATAATTATACATAGATAACCTAATATTGCAGAAAAACGTGTGATATTTATTAAAGAAAAATTTCGTTTACGAAAATCGAAAAATATATGATGATTGAACTATTATCGTTGGGCTGTCACACGAATTAAGAATAAGGATTAAGGACTGTGTTACCGGATCAATGCGTCTAATGGACGAGCGCAGTTATAAGTAAGAGAGTGTTAAATCAATTGGAACTGAAATAAGTACAGTCATGAATCACGAGTGTATCTATCAATTGAACTCTTGGTACAAAGGCTACGGCAATGACGTTCAATTAAGAAAATTGAGAAATTTATGGAATCGTTGGTCAAGAGTATTTGTAATCAAACAAGAACAACAACTAGTTTAACGGAAGTTCATACTCAAACTGTAAATGAATTTTATAAAAGCATATCCTACGTTTCGTTACTTGAAAAACGAGACTATTTCATTTTGAAAATATCGTCATTTGATATTTTAAAAGTTATCCTTGAAAATATCATAAAACGTTTTCGCATGTACTCGCGAGATCGTTATACCGCTTTTAGGACTCCTCTTGGCACTTCCTTCTTCGATAACTTATTAACAGTCGAAATACAGAGAACGACTAAGATCCACCGAATGCAAAGAATATGTTATGAATATGATCAATTTTATCTCGAAAATTATATGTACATTTGAGAGATTTACCAATTAATTTTAATTCTTTGCGTTAATTTTTTATATTCAATGGAAGTCTACTTTCTGTGAAAGCGATATCTGAAATAGAAATCTTGCACATTTTCCGTTCGAATAACCTAGCTTCTAATCCCACACCTATTAATATTAATAGGGAAATTACAGCGACATCAAAATCGATGACTGAAAACTGAAACAACTATGTGGATTACGTGATCTCCTTTATCGACGTGAAATTTTCTATAAAAATGATCAAATCAACTTTCATTTCTCGAATTTCACTTCAAACAATTTATATAATGAAAATAAATTGTAAAAGTATACAGATTTCTATCGGGTTGATTCTGTTTCGATTTTTCAACGCTTCTCAACGACTCTCGTGATTCTAGACTCTTCGAAAAAATTGAGAATTATTATTATGTATTTTAAATCTTCAGTCAAAGATTAATATTGAACTTTATGTTTAAAACTTACATGTTTGCCCTTTCATATTATTAAACGAGACTTTTAACCTTCTGTTTCTGACGTCAAAACATCCTTATCGGAAGTTTAACGTCGGAGTATTGATTAGAAATTCGGAGCAAGTGCAGATGCAGCAACTTGATATTCCACGATCTGTGACCATTTCTGATCTCAGTAGCATACTTTTTATATATAAAGTTAAGATTTTAATTATTATGTCGAATAAATAAAACTAAAGTAACAAGGGTCGACTGATCGAATGTTATTGGTAATATAGGTATTCCTTTATCAATATTTACAGTGTAAGTTTTCGAGATTTTTTTATGTAAACATGTGCACGCGTTATTACCAAATATCTGATTTTTGTATATTATCATATAAATCCACGAAGATATGTTACGGTAAATAATTTCTAAATGTAGGAAGCTGTATTAATACGTCAAATACTATCAATTAATACTTAATGGTAGAATAATACATTAATACAATCAAATTTGAAATCTGAAGACGTATTTTAATGTAGCTAAAACTAAATAATTGAGAATATAAACTCACGCGTGACAAAAAGGATGTACGTAATTGAGACGTATATTTGAGCGTGTTTATTAAGAAGATTAGAATTTTATTGTTCCGATTGTAAGATGTAGTAAGGTACTAAACTTTGCCGTATAGGTTTCAGAACTCCTCGCTTCTAAACAAAGTTGTTTGAATACACGAAAGTCTGTTGACGTAGGAGAGATCAAATGTCAAACCCATAAATATCTTGAGTTAAATGCAAACGTTTTTTCTTTCAAGTAATTCTTACAAACTGATCTGTAGTAATACGTATATGAATGATAAAAATTAAGAAGAAAAAGTAAAAGAAAAAGAAAAAAAACGTTGTCCTATCAACAATTAACCGACATATCTTATCACTTAGTAACTAGTAACACTTTCTTGATTGCGACATGTTGACCAACCTTTTAAATGTTCACTATCCCTATAGTAAAGTTAAACATCGTAACATCTGCTTATGTCAATAAACGCAGACAATATACATACTCATTTCTATCCACATCCACTTGTCATTACGGTTACATCGATTCGAAAAAAGCTTTTAACGACTACCCGACCTACCGTCATAAAATTGCAATTTCGCATCTATCTATTTCCTTAATTATCTGTTTTATCACGTCATATTCTCCAAACCGGGAGAACGCTGTTTTAGAAATATACTTTCCACATAATCAAATTTGCACTATCTATAAAGTTTATATTAAACAAATATTCCAAAAATGACACTAAAAAATAGAATTAAAATTAGAAAAAGTGCTACACTTTGCGTATGAACGTAACGAAGTTTCGCGCTTTCAGTGTGAATTCTTTTTTTTAATGGTTGCTCCCACTTTCTGCATAATTCAATGGCTACGTTAATGGCGACATTACAACTAATCGTAACTTACCTAAATATGACTTCTTGAAATGATCGACTCGCAAGTTTTCATACAGGAAGGTGAACACGTCCACGCCCATTTTTCCGTTTGAAAATAGAATAGTTGGGCTGCTGGAGCCCTACGCTAATTTTAACTTTTTGGAAAATTGGCGAACAACAACAGAGCTAATCTTCCGTGCGATCGATAAAACGTTTTTCGGACGCGACTCGAAAATTCTTGACCACTATTTACCAACTGATTACTGGACTAATTATTCGGAACGGTCGATAGGAAAGAGAATCGGTAAGTGACAACCAGAGGAACGTTGAATTTAAAAAATAAATAATCAACAAACTCTCACAGATTGGGCGTGCTTCCTGTACGATCGACTACCCGAATTCGACTCTCCCGGTGGAATACTGCTAATCCCCTCTACCCCGCCGAGAACGTCCTCCTGCAGGGCGCATGCGCTTGTCCCTATGGAACTACAGTATGCGTCTATGTTCATGCGTACCAACAATAACAGGCCATTGTGCAGACGGCGATAAATGTTCGATTCGATTTCTCGTTTCGCAGGCTTTCAAACGGATTAATTAGGTACGTTAAAACGCGAACACTTGCAAACGATCGTACTAGCGATGACTTTAAGCAACGATTAAAGTCTTGCATTGTGGTAAAATTGAAACTTGCATTATGGAAACTTGAAATGAAATCTTGCAATTTAAAATTTGGTAATGTCAATTTGATAATGTCAATCATAGAACAGTGTTTATGGATTCTTGTCGAACTAAAAGCGTTTAGAAATCGATTTGTTTTGTTGTTTGCCTGACACAGTTTGAAGCGGTTCGAACGCATCGCTAATTGTAAAGCATCATGGACCATGACTTATTTAATAGAGTTGAGGATCGCATTTTAACTACAGTATTAAACTTGTAAAGAGCTCAAATGTTGTTTATTAATTTCAAGACAAACTTCGTTTAAAAGGTATTCTAATTTCTTAAGAACTCTTCCAATTTAAATACAACAATCACGTCAACAAAATTTTTTTACAGGACTTCAAGGTCAGAGTTGTTTTCTGGAGAGAGTAAGATTTGTAGAATATACGCTTTCGTGCGACAATAATCTATTATGTATTTGAAAACAGAACTTTTTATGCGTTAACTCTTCGTGAAGTGTTTAATTGCACTATTCTATGTAGATAACTTAAGTCTGCGCGTCAATTACAAGCAACAGAATCAGAAAAAACGTAGAGAAAAAACAGAAATATCCGTACTATGCGCTATGGCCTACATTCTATTGAAACGTCTGACTAAATGAAAAATTCGCATTCCTCGGTGAAATTTCCATTTTGTTCGAGTTCCTGCATTTCTCGAATTCCTTCCATACGATTGTAAAAATGAAAAATATAAGTTCGCTATTTTCCAGGTGGCGTGCTTGTTGTAGTGCAGAGGATAGTTCGAACGAAAACGAACCACGATTGTTCTACCTGTATTGCTCGTTCTTCCACCTCGTCATGAAAGCCAGTAAAAACCGTACAGTGGGGAGCGGAATAGCGAACTCGGCCGTTTCCCTAGGAAGGTAGGGGAACGGGAGGAGACGAACCATACGAAGATCGTACGGAATGGTTATCCGTCACGCGTGTATCACGTGCTCGTTCGACCGGCCGGCATCTTTACCGTTTCTTGTCTGCATCCATCGCTGAATTTCTTGTGCGCTCAAACGAAATTTTCAAATCTGCCTTGTTTTTATCGAAACGCACGAAAAAGGTCGAACGATTGATAACGGTTGTTTAAATAAAACTATATTCGAGGTAATTTTTTAGTATGTACATAATTTGAAAAAGCGTGCGCGTTCTATTTCTAACGAACCTTGAGATAACCAAAATTCAGATACATATTGCAAATATAGACATCGTAGTATAATCATAACCACCAGTACACCGACGACTGACTCATGGTTAACGAATTCCTTTTCTGTATCTGAGTTTAAATCTAGTTTTTTTTACAATGCCATTCTGTCGTTAAGGTTGTCACGTAGTCAAACTCGAAAATGGTATCCCGCTGGGGGTAACCATCCACGTGTTATTTAGCAATTAAGTTAGAAAAGTTTACCAAATGTTTAGCTGGACAAATTGTAAAGTACAAATTAAATAAACAAAAAAGAAGGTTGTCACCGGTCAGCTGATCATTAATGAAATAGATATATATATAAAATTGACTTTTTGGTAATTAATTTGACGTTGAAATTTTATCATTATATATATATATCTTATAATAAACTTTACCGAGTTGCAAAAATAACATAGAAAATAAGCTTCTGATTTATCTCGTGTATTATAAATCTGTATAACATATTTCTACAGGAAAACACGTACGATAATATGTGCATATTTAGTCATCTATGTCGAAGTTGTATCGACGTTTACTTTTAAAAACGTTATGTAAAGTACACTGCGTGTAACTACTTAACAAGGCCAAAAGATTACGGCAGTATCATAGCGAGGAACTTTAGATCGAGTTCAGAAGAAGCTCGAAGAAATATAGTTGCGATTAGCTAATCAGTGCGGTTTACGACTGTCACAAGACATTTCCTGCTTGTACATTGTAAAACTGGCACGTGACAAATATTACAAACACATAGCTCAAGCCGTTTTATTATTGTTCGTTCGTCATAGCTGAGATCTATTCACCTTGCATAACGTGTTGGTATTTTCCGATTTTTAGTCCATTGCGCAAGCCGTAAGATCTTGTGAAATTAAATCGTTTGAAAAATGAAACGATACAAGTATATTTCCAACTGATATTACGAAAAATGTAACGAACGCAAAACGAGATCTCAAGAAAAGACCAATCTACCTTAATCCATTTTTACACAAATATATTATTTAGGTAATAACGTCGTTCTTAAGAGACAATTAATAAAGAAGCATTATTTCCAAGCTTAAGATAAAGCTTTCTCGAAACTAAAGTTTTATCGTACATTTAAATGGGTTCGTTACAATGTCGTTTAACATGAATCATCAAATTGTGACGAAACTGTTATAAAAATTTTTCAATCGAATATTACGGTTGCTTACGTAGAGAACACATAACGGGAAATATGCCTATTAAGCGAATAGTTAATTGACATAAATGGAGAACTATCCTCTCTTCGATCGAACGATGTTTGCAAAGAATTCAGTTACTTCCAGGCACATGTTATATGCATTACGTCTGTTTAATCATTCTGTAACAAATACCGTAGGCTAGATGTATGTGTAGACGTTCACCGTCTACCTGGCCTTATTTTCAACCGCGTTATTTTTAGTAACTGGAACGGGTTAAACTTTGTTAATTTATCGATAATCATTTAATTTGACGAGAGAATGAAAACCTTTGACCAAATGTAGAATTTTATAATGCATCGATGTATCTGTTATTCAAATAAAAATTTCGACGGACAGTCAGATAAAATCTCTACGAGTTCGAATTTGTTTAATTATCATTTAAGAATATTATACGAGCATTAGCATCGCTGTTTTATTATTTCAGGTAAAATTAAGAGAGCAGATAATAATTGTAATAACCTTATCATGTATGCTCTTGCCGTTGTTTTCATTTGATTTCATTGAATATAATTATCATTGTTATTGCAAGATAATCAAGACTATTATCTCTGGGCCAATTGAGTCACCTTGTTAATTTCTAATAGAAGCATTATCGCATAAAACAATAAACAATTATCGTTGAAAACGAAGACTATGTTTATGTCTTATTGATACATCTCGTTGTTAAACTGGTAGAAACATCAGAATACTCGGATGTTTTCAAAGTACGAATTGACGCTGGCGGTAATGTATTCTGTTGTTTGCCCGCGTTTATCGAGAAGCATTCTGTTCACTATTGCATAACAATGTGCGATGACGACCGAGAAAATGCCATGAACGCGTCACCTATTATTTACAGCATAAAACTGAACACCATACTGCTCGTTCGATAAAAGCGAATACAATACTTTTAGCGGGAATATTTGATTTGAGAATGAATGCGAAAACGTATATTCGAACGTGATTGCGTGGAAATTCCACGTTCTAGGTCACCGAAGCCCAAAACAGGAAACAATCGAAGGAAAGTAATCCTTCCATCGAGTTATGAAAAGGTTGTACGAGTAGCGAAACGTGATTACAATCGACGATATAATTCGAACATTAATATTTTAAGCATCGCGTGATAAAAACGAAGTAACAGAAACAGAAACGTGACTAGAAATCATCTTTACAAGCTTTTGTACCCGTTCGATGGTTCTAGCTTCGATTACGATTCATTCGATCGTGACACGTCTTTCATCTACGGTATTGAACTTTACTTGACTTTCAGATCATTATTCGTAATTGTTCGTACTCTGATATCAAATCGACGTAGATCTTCGATTAAATCGACGTTACGAAATTTCTTTGCTTAAAAATAAATAAATTTTGGTTTACAAATTGAACTACACCCGTGAAAATGATTGTACAATATTATATAAATACGTTTCATCGTAAAAGACAAGACGATAGCGATGTAGAATTGTTTAAACGTGATTAATCGCATTATTCCTAAACAGGAGAACATAAGATATATCGTCATTCATAATGAAACTGTAATGTATCGTATTCCGTTATCAACGTTCACCGTTGCTTTACTGTTTTTTTAAAAATAACTATTAAATCTAGGTCACTCGACGATCACTGCAAAATTGATATTCGCATTCCTATTACCGCCCACGAATAGTCTAGCACGGTTTTGTCGCTCAGACATACAACTTTCTTCTCAACTTAAGAGGGATCTGCTTTCACCGACCGAAAAATTTGCCCATTAAAAGCCGCATTACGAAGAAACGATATATATCAAACTTAAAGCAAAGTCGAAAATTTAGTTCGTCGCGCTTTCTATAACCGGTATTGTGTTTCCTATGTCACCATCTTAACCAACCAAGAATGACAAATATTTTTGTACGATATAGGAACAGGTGTGTCACGAGCGAACACGCGGGTACATGATTCAACATCGTATACATACAATATAAAATATAAAGCAATATCGATCGCAAATAAACTTTTCTTGCACTCGGGACGAAATGGGGGAAAATCGGGACGAAATTTCAATCGCACATCGATGGACCGATCGAGAGGTGACAGGAGACGCGGATCGTCATCTTGTAATGTCGCGTAAAACTTACGATAATAAACAATACGACGACGATGATAATACGATACGTCGATAGTTCCTCTAAGTTTGTATAATTTCGATTTACCGCCAGGGGAGGATTTTTCAAAAGCGCGGGAAACATCCAGTCGATGGCGAATCGATCTAATCCGAGCAAAAGTGCCGAGGCGATCGCGTTAAAATTCAGGGACGAATTATAAAAAGGGTACTCACAGTCGTACGATAACGATGAGCTTTGAAAGGAAAATCTTGGCGATTGGTTCACGACGACGTGCTCATCTGCGCCACCGATTTCAGCCACCTTGATAAGCTTCTATTAGACTGCAGCTCGTATTCGCGCCACCTCTAGTGCGCCTCTGGCTGATCCTCGCTTTTCAACTGCAACTATATACGAAGACGAGCTCTATCGGCCAACAAGTGATTCTAGATAGCGGGGCCTCTGCCTGACACTCTCATTGGTTATTGGATCGTGTACTTACTCGTCTTTTAGCGTGATCGTCGCGGGGTCGTCGCTGGGTCGTCGCGGGGTCGTTCCGGGTCGATCTCCACCCCGGGTAGAAAGTTCATGTACATCGAGGAATTCAACGATCGCCTTACCATCCACGTTCATGGCTCTTCGTCTTCTGTTTGCGTACTTCCATACGGTAGTCGAACCCTTGTCGCTCGAACCATGCTAAGCTGGTGCTCGTGAGCGAGGGAGAGACGGTGAACTTGAACTTTGCTTCAGGATCTCGAGACTCGTTTTCGGCGATGTAACATGAAATAACATCAACTATTTTTTCGCTCGTTTGCTCGGTGGTACGAATCGCAGGGATAAAAGATCGCTGGCCGATAGATAGTGACAACGTATCTGTATGAACGCAAACTACGTACATGATATTGATACGACGCTAGACGTTTTTATAATTTTTTATCGGCCAACATTTCGCACAATGATGTTTTCATGGTCGTAAGGAGGAAAGTGTGCAAATAGTTCTATATTTCTTCTGTTTGCTAATCATTCTGGAAAATACGTCTAATTTATTCGCCTATCGCATACACGAGGAAAGGATCGCGGTTACGAAATTGAAAATTTGAATTAACAGTATTTTACTTCTACGATTTATCGTATCTTTTATCGACATGTTTCAGCTCCACGAAATTAACGTGTCGGTTTTAGGATTGGAATTTTAATGACGAATGTTGTATATATTTTGTGCCATTTTTATTACAATATCCTTGTATGTGTATACTTCTCTGTTGAAATACGCGTGTTATTCCTCGAAAGGTAGGTTATTCCTCGATGAATTGTTTCCTTGTGGTGTAGAGAGTTCTCCTAAAGATGAAAACAGAATAAAAAATATATAGCGTCTTGTATTCTAGCTTGGATTTATATCAGTTACAAAAAATCGTAAATATACCTATGATGTGTACATAGACGAGAAGTACGTGACGAGTGGATACAATAAACGTATGAAATACATTGACTTTTTGTGCAATACTTTCGATGTATATCAACAAAGAAGCAAATTAATTGAAATGTCAATTATAACGATGTAATTAATACACTATCTGTAACTGCACATTGGATAAGTATGTAAGTAAATAAATCTGCTTTGACTCTTCGATTTCGATTAGCGACAACAACAAAGACGAACGGCATAACAAAATAAAACGACAGATCGTGTCAAAACACTGCGCAATTCGAGCAAGCTAGAATACAGTCCGCGATAAAAAAAATAGTACACTCTATAAAGTTTGTAATAGCGTGGAACGGTACAGAAAGAGTATAGAAAATATTTGTATACGTATTTAGCTATGGATTAATACGACGATAAATGTATTTATTCTAGCATGTAATTATTGTCCTTTGATTCTTAGACTTTTATGAAAGACCAACCCGATAAAATAATAGGAAATATCGCTTCTCGTTTGAACGCGAGCAAGTGACAAATTCTGCAATAAGAAAATTTACAATATAGCCTAGAGAGATATTATACGCAGTTTGTAGAAAATGGAGAAAGGCTAACGGGTACTTAACATCGTCGAAAGAAAGCTACTCTGTCTCAAGGATAGCTAAAGCTGTCGATAGAAGTCGAAAAGTTATTCGTTTACTTCGAAGTGCATGGAATTGCATGGCGAAGAAGACGTACGGTGGGCGATCTGAAGTTTTAACAGCATCGAACTCATCGTTATCGATGACAGCAAGGCAGATTGCCGAAGTTGCTGGGATAAAACCGAATGTCATAAATGTCCAAGTGTCTTCCAGTATTCTGAGACAACGCGAGCCAGCGTCGTTCGGCGTGCTTTCAGGCGAGCAAGGGCATTAATTAAAGCGGAGTAGGAGAAAGATAGGCGACTGTTACTTCATATTATACAAACAGACGGCCTGTTTTGTTGTCCGTCGATTTATTTACGCCGGGAAGCCGCGTACGGGCGACGAACTGACTGAGACGGGTGACTGAGACCGACAGGAAAAGTATTTGAAACGGAAGAAACTGCAAAGGAAACCTCCTCCGACAGAGGTAAATCAAAAGACGAGATTGCAGTTTGTGAACATACGCATTGGGAAGGGAAATATTTTAAATTTTGATTTTTACTGGCTGTACCCCGAAATAGAACGCGAAAACATAGAGTGGTCGATGCTGCTCGACTGGCTCCTATATCCTGTTTCTTCAGGCTTGCAGGGTTGCATAGTCCCTCAATAACACGTTTGCTACAGTCAGACTTCTACTCGAACTTTTCCAAACAACTATCTTATCTAATGCGTCTCTTCCATATCGCACGACCACGTAGGAAATATCATTGCAGGTCGCAACATCGGAATATCTTCTGACATGTTCTTCCTTCCAGCGGGAATACACGAAGCCGGTTTTCTACAGGTTATGAGCTTCAGAAGACAGATCGATTCCTCGAGGCGAAGATATCTGAAACTTTCCAATCATCCGCGATAATATCCAATACAGGATTTTCTACCGAAATTAAATGCTTCTCGTGCAAAATAAGGACACGTTGCAAGCCAATCTGACAACTTCATAAAATCACCAATGACAAATAATAACAAAAATGTAGAGACAGTTGAGTCGAACAACATCGATACCGATAACATCAAATGCTTCCTTAAATGCTTCCACTTCTAACATCGCAATTCAACCAGAGTCTTCCCAACAAACGGAGATTACAAATACAGGTACATATTAAAAGAGCATTATATCTATATATACGGAGCATCAATTGTTCTCAATAATCCTGCAGATAATCCAGTGCAAACAAATTCAAACACCGCCTTATCAAAGAGCGGTATTAGACAGTACTTTTAAGAAAGTAAACAAACGTAGGAAACTTTCCAAGGATGCCATTAAGCATATCAGCGTTATGATTAGACGAGCAGAAAGCAAGATTAAAGATCTTTAATTAAATATTCTTATGGATCTCGTTCGGTCAACCACTTTTTTGGAAAATTCATTTGGAGCTGAAGTAGCTCAGGAGCATACGACATTAATTACGTATCGGTACTAATTAAAACGTTAATCGAGGTTTACCCTGTACCAAAGGAACGAAGTATCAAAAATAGAATTTAACTGTCTAATACTTTCAGTGTCTGACGATAATGATTGACGATATATCATGTTGCTCCACGCTCGGTATCAACACGTTGTGAATGTGAACCTGGCCTTAAAGAATCTCTCTCTGCTGTCATACATTATATCTAAGTTATTACATATTAATTATTAATCACGCTATCAATTACGCTAACGACTATCGTACAATGGAACGTATAAATGGCCTTTTACCCCATTTACCTCAACTACTAGTCTTGCTGAATAAATATCAATCTGATATAGTTTGGTTGCAAGAAAGCAACTTTAAGCTCGCCATCAGACGATTCAAATCGAAGATTATAATTCATTTGTCATTAATCGTAACTCTCAAATCGTTAGTGCAGATGCAGCTATGTCGATTAAGAGTTCCTTAATTACCGAAAAATTGCAAATCACCTCTAATACGAAAATAGTAACAATTACAGTACGTACGTATTCCTAATAGTTACCGATTAAATCTAATAAAAAATTAAATAAAAAAAAGAACGTTCACGTAACAGCGACTTTTTAGGTTATGTTGAACGTTAAAAATTTGATTTCTAAGATACAAGTATGTAATTAACGCTTTAGTATCTATTTCTGGTAATGAAGTTAATATCTAGCTCCGGTGTCGACGGCTTAAACGACAGCTAGCGCCTGATAATATACATACGTATATACAATAGTTGCGCATGCACTCGCAACATATTTTCGCTTGTACAAATTTTTTAATATCATCAGCGAGGATAGCAACCGTTATCGGAAAATAATAATTAAGAATCACAATATCAAAGTATTTTTTAGACGATTCGAATGGTTTTAAACGATTATTGATAAATCTATCGATCGAGTGAAATTTTCGAAAAAATTACGATTGCCCGATTTTTCTAATAAATATTTCGCACTTCCAAATATTTACTTTCTATCGTATTTCTAAGAAACGTTGCCTCACGAAGCATGCAATATCGCCTCTTAGTCTTATCGTTTCTCATTTAAGGATCATTTTCGTAACCTTAGAAATAGATAAATCGTGATGCAACGTTTATTAAATACGATCAGCCGTCTGACTGACATTTTATAATATTTATAGTTTTCTTTGAAATGAAAAATTCAACAGTTTTTACTAAATAAATAGATACTTTTGTGAGAAAAGTGAAAAGTGCTTTTGTAAGAAGCTTCGAGAAAAGTATATTGACGAAGGGGAGGGGGGTACGTATTAAGCATACGTGCTTGGCTTATCTTTGAGAAATTACCAGAAAATACATGTATATGTATATTTACGTGTCGAAGTGATCGTGTTTAATGGCGAATAATAAGAAGCAAGCTGGAATCTTCTGAATATATAAAGGGGGCAACGGACAGGAGGTGTAAACGTGTGCATACTATTAAATTATTTATATTCATTGTATCGTTATATTAATATTATAAATCCATTTCAAGTCTGTTTTCTCCAAGCAGAGACTTGTAATTAAATAAATATGTAGAAATTCTGGCGTGTTAATTTTGTATTGTCTTATATTTTCTGTTTCTGTGCAGATTGTAATTATAATAATAATAATTGTAATAAATTGATTTACTTATTTTATTTAAATTTCAAAATTAAAAGTTTAGATTTATAAAAATGTATCATTATTTATTTATATTTTATCATGTACCAAATAGGATGCTGTTTCTAATTCATTAAGCGAAATATTTGTTGTTCGTTATACTGCGAGCCACGAGATTTCGTTTGCTAGATCATTCTCAATTACATATATAAATCGAATCATGGAAGTAGCGCCACGTGTAGATAATAAGAGTTTATCATTAACTCGTAGTAAATAAGTATGCAAATAGATTAAAATTGAATTACGACAGCAATAGATTATGTCGATACCACAAGAAATTCGATTTTGAGTCGAGCAAATCTCAGCGGACCCTCTGATTTTGTCGATGATAATTAATTTTGAAAGTACAATTATATCAATTAAACGAAATCAAGCGACTATCGAAATACGACAATGACAAATTTTTCATATTTTTCATCCAATTCTTCCTGGCCGTAAATTTTGCTAGTAATAATTGTCAAAGCATTGTAAATCTTTGAAACTTGGTTTTCTAATTATTGTTATTTAGACGTGCGTGTGATCGTATCGTTATATACATTTACATCATGGACGAGGTACAACATTTTGTTTGTGTTACCGTGTACGATACTCTTTCGTTGAAGGTCTTTTCACAGATGATATGTTAGATCGATATGGTCAAGTGTT